TTCAATAAATGAAATATTTTCAGCTTTGATTAATATCGCTAAAGATAACGTCACGCTAGTAAAAAAAAAAAAAAAAACACGCGACACACTCGATGAATTATCCATTATGTGTACACGGAACAGCGAGTTAAAAAAATGTCACATCCGCTTTTGCTTCTGTAGTTTCTTTATCTTCGTAGTAATCTCGTTTGTAATCTCGGTTCTCCGTTGTATTGCGATTATTTAGCAACTTGCCTTATTTAATTCTTTTTTTTTTCTCGCGATGCTTCATTATAACGTGACAACCTTAAATCTGAAGCGTCTGTTTTCATTATCAAATGTCGAATTAACGTCGACTGCGAATCAATGGATATTTTTGTAATGAAATTCTGCAACCTCGAAATTCGAACGTTTGAAATTTCAAAGTCTAAATAGATCGTAATAGTTGCAAGATAAATATACTCGATGAAATGTAGAGAAAGAATTCTGGGAATATATGGTATTCAGATAACAAATTTTCATTCTTAATGACCAGGCACATCAGTTCTATTCTACTTTTTTTGCACAATTTTAATTTAGATTTTTTTACCATAGGGTTAATAATAAAATTTCACGAAATTTTTCAACAAAGGGTGCAACACGATACTTTTACGCGATTAATTCAGAATTTCTAACCAAAGAATAAAACTGCAGGCAAAGTGTAATCTTTCATATTTTCCAACAAAGTTCATAATAATTTATGAAATTCTAATTTCGAGTTTGTAACTATATTAAGAAAAAAAATATCATAAAATCTCATATTTTGCAACGAAGTTCATAATAACTTAAAAATTCTAATTTAGAATTTCGAATTTGCAACTATATGAAGAAAATATAATATTACAAATACTCTCACATTTTATAATATCATAAATTTCAAATTTAGAATAAGATTTCTAATTTGAAACCTTAATAGAATTTCGAATTTGCACCTATATGAAGAAAATATAATATTACAAATACTCTCACATTTTATAATATCATAAATTTCAAGTTTAGAATAAATTAGAAGATTTCTAATTTGAAACTTCGAAAAGTATAAAAAAAAAATTTTTAAAGCTATCAAAAAGTTACAAGTAAATTATAAACTTTCATATCTTACAATAAAATTCACGATAATTAGAGAACTCCTGACCATGCTAAAAAAAAAAAAAAAAAAAATTAACAGAGGTAAACCGTAAAATTTCACGTTTCCCGAACGAAATGCACAATACCTCTCGCTTCCAAATAATACCCAGCATTGACTCGTTATTCCCAACTAATTCAATCGCGGCGAACGACCCACTTTCCACTCACGAGCAGGTGGACTCCGGATCAAAATTTCTCAGCGTGCGTTCGAACGATCCGAGATACCGTAGTGCACATCGTAAAATCCAATTACTCTCGTTTTAACGATCCAAAAATTCCACGGGAGATTTTTACGCTCGTGAAAGCGGACAAGTCCCCAAAATGAGTGGTGTGAATTTCGACTTTTCGATCGAATTCACGCACTCCTCCTTCCTGTTGGTCGGTCGCGCTTCGACAAATGGTTTCAAGGAGGCAGAACGAGGAAAGATTACTATCGAACAAGTTATTATTATTATTATGAGACACGCGAGACACGAAAATTATTCTAAAATCGGCCACGCTGGAATGACGTGCCACGCATGGCAATATTTTCTCAGTTTTAAGTATATTTAAATGTAAAAACCAGGCAAAACAAAGTTTACTACTTCTCAATAATTTCTATCCAGTGATATCGTACCGACGAGTTCAAAAGAAAAAGAAAACGACGAATTATTGTATACGGTTCGGTCACTCGTTATGGTCCGCGAAACAAGTTGCCAAGCGCAAGTGGTTAAAACCGACGTCGATCTGGTCAAAACGTTGCCAAAGTTAATTGTTATAATTGATGGATGGATTTCGAGTATGGCAACGGAAAAGAGTGATGCATCGTCTATCCGTGGTTCTAGCAGTAGAAGTGGGAAATTTGTTCGTTGGATCAAGAGTAACGTGTCGCGACTCGCGAAAAATCAGTGATCCGAGCAACGACGAGCTTCACGCGATGTGACAGAGCCGAGTGAAACGATAAGAGAAAGTCCGATGATCGCGTGATTATTAAAGCGCGAAACGTAACGAATAGACACTGTTGAGATTGAGGTGAGGCAGAGTTACTCAGATTAGGATGCTTTTTAATTCGCCAAATTCGATGGCGAATAATTTTGAAAGGACCTAGTTGCTTAATTTCTCAACGTCGTGTATTTTATTTGAGAGTAATAAAAAAAAAAAAAAAAAAAAAAAAAATGCAAGGAGATGAAGAAATGCTTGATAAGATATTTCAATTGATTCAAACCTAGATGCATTTATAAACGTTATGTGAAAGTAAAAGCACAGATGCGCGTTGATGAAAGTAAGTATAACATCAACAACTATCGACAGAATCTCTTGAACGTTAGAGTGATTACGCAGTCGTTACAATAACATGCAGCAATTGTCCCCTTCTAAAAAACGAGGATAGGAATTTTTATAAATAATATAATAATAAGTTATTCGTACTTAGAAAAATCGCTTGATTTTAACACACAAATCTAAATTTATCTGTCGCAGAATAAACTTATCCTCAATTTATAACTTTATTCACGCCTCAGAAACTTTTCAATTTTAACACACGAATTTACATTCACATAAATTTATCTGTCGTAGTTGTCAAATCTGTGGTACTTAAATGTTCGTAAATAACTTTTCAACTCAACAACCGAACAATTTAGTCTGATCAGACGGTCGTTGTTTCTCGCGATAATGGGGGAAAGTGGTAATGGTTTTAGTAAATTATAAATTACGACGTCCGACAGGCGTGGATTAGAACATGATCGTTTTATTTCAAGTGCATACCGTCTCGTTTAATAGCTGGAACCAGGCGGATCGGTGGAATGGCCTCTATATGCAAATCCCTGGGGACTAATCTCAGCCAAAAGTCGTTTCCTGTGTTCGTTTTAATGGGTTGCCCATGTTCTTGAAACGATAGTGCATACATACTAACCGCGTTACCATACTTCGAAAACCTATTTGACCTACTACACTTTCTTACGCGCTACCTTAGTTGCTCTCGTTTGTACAAACAGCTGGGTTTTCGCGATAACGATAACGGTTCCACGTAAAAATGATAACGCGCAGGCTTCTAAACAAGAAACTTTCCCCTCACCTTCCGTTTTTATTTGTGCCGATGGCACAATGCGAGGAAAACGCGTATTAATTTAATTAAAATAATCTTCAAGAGAAGAATATTAATGAATATTAATGAATATTAATGAATTCTTTTTAAAAGAGTATTCATTATAGTTGTTTAGGTTGGAGATAGTCGATGTTACATTGTTTAGGTTGTTCTCAATTGTGGGAACGTTATATCGAATATATCACCTTTTTTTTTTTTTTTTAATGAAAATATCCTTCGCTTTTAGATTTGAATATATGTTTAAATTAATATTTTCTTTCGCTATAAAAATCGAACTTTATTTCAAACTTGATTGCAACATGTTCTGCGATATTGAAAATATAAGAAGTTAAAAATGAAGTAATTACAAATCTACGTTTATCGGATTGTGGCACTTCAATTCAGAGACATGTATCAGCTATTAAGTAACAAGCAATCTTTAATTTATTGAACGATAAATAATATTATTGAAGGAAAGTTTTGTAGGTAATAGTTTTGTAGGTAATATAATATAATAAAGATAATATAATAAAGTATTGTTAAATAATACGAAATTAATTATAATGTAAAAATTGATGATACGAAAAAAATATATTTTAATATATCTAATTAATAGTACGTTATATTAAATACAATAGAGTGCAAATACTAGTCACTATATAACTCACGTACGACATTTTCAGATTTATTTTAAATTTTATCAGTTTTATCAGTTTTCATATAAAATACACGACACATAAAACGCGTAAAATGCTCCATAAATATTCAATTACTTTCGTGGGCCAACATATATATATATATATATATATCTTCATGAGTCAACGCTCCGTTTTCTGAATTTCTAACGCGAGTATCCGCGTAATAAATTCCGTCGCCTCATCTAAGCCGCCTCGCCGGAGAAAGTCGAGCAGATTGCAGCCACGGCGCGCTGCGACGCGACGCGACGCGAGTCAATTTTTCGTAACGTCAGATAAATCGGGCAGCGTTCCCGTAAACATCGTTACGCTCGTTTCGATCGCTTCGTCATTTCTGCTCATATTTGTTCAGATAACCAACAGAGAGAAACAGAGAGAAAAAACGGAAAGAGAGGAAAAGAAAAAGAAAAAAAGGGAAAGAGAGAAAGATCCTGTTTCGAGGACGTTCGCGCGCGAAGGTTTTCACGAGTCGATGAATGATGGCCGATAGTAATTACCAAGCGAACGATAACCTTCGACTGAACGACAAACTTATCACGAGACCGTGTAATCTACAACGCAGATAGACAGCAATCTTGCCTTTATGTTTCATTGTAACACCGTGAACAAGCCACTTCGGGGGGAAACAGCGGCGTGGAAAAAGATTCGCCTTCGACAACGCGAGAACGATGGAAAGGGAATTCGATCGGCTTGAAACTAGGCAAGGAATTGTTACGTCTGTTCCTTGTGTTCACGAGCGAATAGTGTCGTATCACGGTTTCATTCGTCACTTACGTTTCGCTGTAACGCGAGCAAAAAAGGAGAACCCTGACGCATGCATACATACCGCCTTATCCTTCTCTCTCTCTCTCTCTTTCTCTCTTCTTCCTATCTTTGTTCTATCTATCTATCTATCTCTCTGTCTCTTATTCCTTCGTCGACGAGACACACCGTGCACACTCGTGCACACTCGTCGCGATCGCAAAAATGCGCATTGCTATGCAAACGTAGGTGAATGCACGCACGCACCGGTATTTCTGCACGATCAGAAGAAACGCGTGGGCATTAAAGGTGAAGCAGAACCGGCTGGGGGAGGGGAGAACAGGTGCTATATTTACCTTGGATGTCGGCGGTCCTGGCTGGAGCTGCGCTCGATTACCTTCGACGCGCGTCCATGGAAAAGAAATTCAAGCTCGCTCTCTCGACCAACTCGAACCCGATGAAAAATCGTTTGCCCCCTTTCCTCCCTGAATCCTCCTCGCCAGTCCTCCCTATTATATTCCTTACTTCCACGCGGAACAATCGACACTTTCCAATTGGCACTGTACGTACGTGCGCGTACGTACTTCTTTAATTTTCTTCCAGTTCTTCGTCACGAAAAGAAAAAAAAAAGAAGGAAATAATTCCTCGTCGATCCTCGTTCGTCTCGGACCGGTTTAACACACGACGACACTTCCTCCTCGCTCCGACCGTCACAAGTATTATTCCGTCACTTAGGTTCTTTCCTCTTCTTCTCCTCTTCTGTCGCTCGCGGCCACAGTTGATCAATAACTCTCTCTCGTTCCACTCGGTAGGAGTATCTTTCGGGGATTCCCAGCTGGATCTCTCGGCCGTCCGACGTGAATTACCTTCGATCGCCGACGACTGGGGAAGCCACTTATCTGCGCAACACGTGGAAATTGTATTTGCGGCTGATGGTTGGGAGAAAGTCGCGTGTTTTGTTATTCGCGTGGTTATGACGAGAAGGCGCGTGGACGAAACGACGGGGCATTGACAGTTCTCTCTCAGGCTGCGGGATCGGCGCAGGTGGGAGACCTGTTGCACGTTGTCGATCGATTCTCCGTCTCGATTTTTACGTCTCGCGAACGTTTAAAAGCTTCTCGGTTCAATTCCCATCTCGCTTGAAAGTTCCCGACGACACGCAGGAGAGATATTTTTGTGCAAATAACCCCGTTTCCCGTCGTGCTGCCTGCTCACGAATCTGAGCGCAGCAAAGCGACGAATATTCAATTTCAAAGAATATCTCCGAGAATTCGGAGTATCATCTTTGGTTTCTCTTTTTCCAAGTTAGGAACTGTCGATCCTTACGTGTATAACAGAAGAATTTAAATAACTCGCGCCTTTTTGTTTCTCACGGAGAAGCAATTTTGTAGATGGCTAATAAAAAATGTCATTGATTTTTTGGTGGTTTTTTTCTTTTCGTTTATTCCAGAATTCGGGGAATATTGGTCTCGACAAAGGTTTCCTCAACTTCAGCAGCTACTTTCAGTTCTTGGAATTTACTAATTTATACAATCGTACGGGAAATTAACAAAAGTATACTTCTGGTGTCTCTCTCTTCTAGGTTTTCATACACAAATTACCGGACTCGAACTAGATTCTAACCTTTTGTGAAATTCTTCGCGCCATATTTCAGTGACGGTAAAACACCCGAGAGCCAGAGACAAGAATTATTAAACCAAGTTGAAATTAGATAGGTGTAATTTTAATTTACATGGTATAGCAACAAAAGTCCAGAATATTCCTTGAGCCTTTGATACATTCTGCGACTTTTATTTCTATACCAAGGACAGGGAACATCTCGATTTTGAAACACGCAAAAATTACGAACAAGCAACGAACCAAAAAGCACAAAGTACTTGTTTTGTTACTTCTATCCTACGTTATTATACCTTCACGTTTCCACGAAATAATCTTATTTATAACAGTCACTATTCTTTACCATTTTCCCCATCAGATTGGAAAACCGTAATCATTCGCAATCTCCGGGCTTAACGAGCAATGAGAAATGCAGTTACAGAGGATCAATTCTTTTTTTTTTTCTTTTTTCCTTCTCGTCAGTCGCGAACGTAAATATACCGAGCGAATCGATATATCGATAGACGTAGCAACGCGTTCGCCAGTCATTATTGTCGATTCGAATTCATGAATGAAGGAAGAAGTGCTTGAAAAGGGCACAAAGAAACGACTCGCACACGACTAGCGGGATTTTCTTCCTTTCTCCCTCGTCTGTTATTGCTTCCTTTCGCTTTTCTTTTTTTTTTTTTTTTTCCCCCTCCCTCGTTAATCGCGGCATTCGCGGGATTATCAGTCTAATCGAACGTTCCGGTATTTTTAGTCTCTGCCAATTGCGCAATCGTCTCGAAGTTCGAGCTGGATCCTCGAAATATCGGAGGGTGATTTAAAACGATAGCATCAAGCACATTCCGACTCCCAGATTCCTCTAAACATGTTCTAAATAATGTTCTGAAACGTCGGGAGTCGGTGCTCGACTCCTTGTTCCTCTCTTGTCCTCTCTATTTTCTTGTCCGCTCGGATTTTCGTTTCTTTCTGTTTATATTTAGAAGATCAACGAGCGAACGAAGCATCGGCTTAGTTCGCAAAATGCCGAGCTTTCGCGCGTCGAACGGGGAACAGTTTTTGATCGAATTTAACAATGACGACGGGAAGATTGAAAATTTAATAGATAGTCAGATACGAGTTCAACGATCTGACTAGAACGTAAAATACCGAAATGCTTCCTACACCTAAAATCCTTTCTTCCGAGAGTCTGTCGATTGCAAACGAAACAACAACGTTATCCCTCGAAACTCTCTCGTCATTTTCCTCAGAAACGTCTCTCGCCACCGTCGATGCGAAACAGAAAATAGGGAAAATGATCGCACTCATTGCTCGCGTCGAAAGCTTGCAAGTTGTCGAGTTTTTCAAAGGAGACCTCTGCATTTCGAGAGTCACGCGGCTCGGGAATTTCGCGTGGTCGGGAACGAGAGCTGTTCAGGGAATTCCAGTGTTTCCACGGGATTCGCGTGGTTGAGTCAAGCGTATCACGCGCGTAGGACGCGTCGAACGAAAAAAGGAAGGAAGGAAGGGAAAAGAATCTCCAGCACGCGACGGAAAGCGCACGAGGCAGATAATCCGCGAGCGAGCGAGCGCGTTTCCATTTCCCATTTCCATCGGGGCGAACCCGATCGTCCGCGAGTCCTCGCCGAGTGTTACGAGGTCACATCCGCGTGCCGAGCGGCCGTATTCGTCTCCGCGTGCGCGTCCACGCGCCGCTTTTCTCGCCGCGGCGATTCGAAAGTCAAAACAAATCGTACGGGCTTCGAATGCAGCTCGAAACGGCTTCGTCGTTCGTTCGTTCGTTCGTCCCTCCCTCCCCGGAGCTCGTTCGTGCAACGATTGGGAAATCGTTTCTCTCCCCGATTGGTTATCGATCTGGAATGCTCTGACAATCTATCTGATAAAGATATACGACTGGCAAGAATGTTTCTCTCTGCTATGGCGCGCGAGTGAGAGATTTCTCGATCGGACGCAAGCGTGTTCCTGGTTTTACCGAACTTTCGTTATTATTATATATAATCCTCTTGCCTTGCAGTTCAAGGATAGCTTCCAGTTGTCTTACACTATAAATCCTACATGTACTTGTGTATACTAATATGGTACTTAAACCAAGTTAAATGTAACTTTAACTACAAATCGTGAATTTCCTTAACACTGAAACACACGGAAATTTTATTAGATTTTCCATTCCATTCGCGGCTGCTCCTCCGCCCGAGCTTTCGTTTTTTTTTGTATTTGTTACCGGAAGAGAAAACCAATGCCGCCAATCTGATCTTGAAACAGTTAACGTAAAGTATGCGATTGCTGGTGCATACAACAAGCCCGTGCTAAGCTTATGCGTTTTAAAAAATGCTGCAAGTGGCAGCTGCTAAATCAGCGGAAAAATGAATTACACGTACAAAACGAGCGATCAATGTTGGAATTAAACTACGGAGTTACTTCAAACGTGCGTTGCAATTTAAGAAACAGGGCAACACACTTGCATACGAAAAGCAAAACGCTTGACAGCGGATCTTTCGATTCGGGGAATCCCTGAATCTTCTGGTGGATGGTCTTTGAGTGTCGCAGACTAGATTCTAGCTCGACAAACTCTTCCATTGTATAATCGGCATAAATGCGACGAGGATGTAAAAAAAATTAACTTGCCAAGGAAGAACGTTTAAACACGAGATGTTGAAAACGAGTTGTCCAATATATTAACGAACCAAGTGAATTTTAATTAATGAAAAGCCTTCGTTCGCGTGAAGCGGTGACGCGCCACCGAGAAACAGCACTGTCCTGAACATTAGTCACTTGATATTTACCACACGATGTAACATTCGAGGAAAAATACACGCGGCGCGCGATATATTCCACTCTCGTTCGACTACTATTTTCGTTCTTCCGGTTTGCTATGACAACTCTGACTTTACCAAATGTTAAACTCCGAATTCTTCGTACGCATTATTTATATGTTCGGATCGGTCAATGCTTGATTCGAATAACATATACATTTTGGAAGAGCATCAACAACAGACGTAACTGGCTTGGAAAATCTCGAAGATGATCCCGGCATCGTGAAACGCTTCTCCCCTATGACGGTTTGCAGGAGATCCCACCTTTGCGCGGGTTTCGCAAAAGCCGCGCAGCAACAACGGGAGTGCGTGATGAAGAAAGTTTCAGAACGGCGGAGACTCGTTCGGGAAAACTCTCACGATCGGATTGGTATAGGAGAGCAGGGACAGAGCAGCGGGCGAGATCAGGGAAACACGAGAACGAAAGAACCGGCGCAGAGGAGAGGAAAAGTAAATCGCGAGGAACGATATCGTACTCGTCCGATACACGCGCGGGCCCGTATCCAATTAAATCGTGCACAATGAACCCACGAACGATGACGCACACGTATTCCCGGCGCTGTCGTTTCGTCCGCGCGGATCTTGCTTTCCGCCAGTCTGCTGTATACCGTTAATTGTGCTCGATTCGATTTCGTCCGGGGCTTCCTCGAATCAACCCCGGGCCTAGTTCTCTCTCCCTCTCTCCCTCTCTCTCTCTCTCTCTCTTGTTTCTTTCTTTCTTCCTCGAAAACGGAAAGAGAAAGACAGTCGCACGTCGCAATAGACGGGTGCAAACGGCAGCCGATATCGTCGAGGCGTTCGAGAAAGAACGAACGATCCCTGGATAAAGAACTGGTTGCTTGGTCAAAAGTAGATAAGAAACGTCGACAGGGTTGGACAAGACGACGACGACACTTCACTCTCAAACTATCTTTCTTTCTTTCTTTCTCTTTCTCTCTTTTTTTCTTTCTCTATCTCTCTGTCGCGCGAGATACGATCTGTACACGATCTGAATCGGCAAAGACGACGACCGCGGTTTTAATACCACCCGGCTCGACAAATCGGGATCGATTGCGGAGTTCGAACGCTTGGCACAAGTAGTCTCGGCTGACCGAACGCCCGATCCGGACTGACTATAACTGTAAACCATCACTTGTCGCTGCCAAGCTTGCCCCCACCGGGCCGCCCGCGAAACGGATCGTTCCCCACTTCGTTCGCTGGCATGCCACGCCGCCGTTGCCTCGTCGCGCCACGCCGCCGTGGTGTTCTCCGGCTCCAAACCAGTTCTCGATGCGCTTCGCCACTTCTACCTTCTACGTCGGCTCTGCCTCAGAAGCGTTTTCCACCTGCTGCCGCCGCCGTAACCAAACAGAGCCAACGCACGACACGGCCTTTCCACCTTGAACCGGCTCCGGCTCCGAAAAAAAACAAAAGAAAGAAAAAAAAAAAAAAACGCCGGCTCACTTTGGCTCTCTTCCCTCTGCTTGCGAGACACTGCGTATCTTAATTCTGACGAATTTATTCCGAACGCGGATCGGCGTTTCTGCGACGCCGCAGTGCTTGAAAATGACTCGAACGTTCAGCCGTTCATCAGGTGGAAAGCCGATCGTCACTTTGTCACGATCTCCTTGAAAATTTTGTTCCTTACAATTTCTTGACTCTCGATCTCTACTATCTCGAACATTCCCAATAATAAAACGTACGATCGTCGATAAAATAATCGATTTATTTGCTATGTATTCTTCTGTACACTTTTATGAGCAATAATTCCAAGAGTTTTGATGGCTTTTCTTAAAGTGGTGTAACACACGAGTGCATTTATAATCCTGTGCATTGCGTGCAAGATACCAAATCTTTTCTGAAAGTAGCTGTCATTGAAATGAAATACATAAAAATATATATATTTCATACGAATGATCTGAAATACATACAGGGTGTTTCGTAACTTGTGGAACGCCTAAAAATAATGAAAAGGAGTCATAAAAATATATGTCTTCGTTTATGAGATATAATTTTCTGTTTTAATCACTTTTACAAAAGATGCTTGAAATGACCAGCTTGCATTTGAAGACAAGCCTGCATTCATCTGGTTACTCTCTCTATCATTCCTGGTGTTTCTCGAATTTGTCGGAAGCCTTGCTCTATTCTATTTCGTAATATTTCAAGCATTTTCAATCGATGTTGCGTATACAATAGATTTTAAATGTCCCCACAAATGAAAATCTAATGGATTCAAATCCGGAGTACGAGCAGGCCATGCAATAGGACCTCCACGACCAACCTATTTATTTGCAAAGTGTTGATTCAAAAATTGCCTAGCCACTCGGCTAAAATGCATGATGGAACTCCGCCGCATGTATATACATCTATCGACGTATTTTGGAGTAATCATATATTAACAGTAGAAGTACCGACGAAAAAATATAATATTTATAGCAAAGAAATTCAAGCACATGGTACAAGAGAAAATTAATAATTCAATATAAAGGATACAAGCTTCTATTAATATATTTTATTAAAAGTCACTCGAGTATAAAGTACACTGCTGCAA